AAACAGGTGCATTTGTGTGGTGATGGATTATTTCACCAAGTGGCCTGAGGCGTATGCAATGCCAAATCAGGAAGCTACAACTGTAGCTTCGGCTATCAGTGATTTCTTCTTCACGTTTGGTATGCCATACGAACTGCATTCAGATCAAGGCTGTAACTTTAAATCAGCTGTGTTCCATGAATGCTGCAAGTTGTTTGGCATACGAAAAACCAGGACAATGCCACTTCACCCACAATCTGATTGGATGGTAGAAAAGTACAACTGGACACTGGGACAGGAATTGGTAAAGTTTTGTAATAGCCGCCAAGATGACTGGGATGTCTTACTCCCTCCACTGTTGATGGCCTATAGGACAGCAAAGCACGAAGCCACTGGATACACTCCAGCAAAGCTGATGTTTGGTCGGGAACTTCGGTTGCCAGTGGATCTGTTTACAGGATGCCCACCTTATGAAGAGTTGCCTGAAAATGTGTCAGAGTTAGTGAAAATGTTATCTGAAAGGATGGATGATATTCACCATCAAGTGCGTTCAAACTTGAAAACGTCTGCTGATTCCATGAAGCTATGTTATGATAAGAGATCTACTAAAGTCAGCTTTGTACCAGGAGACAAGGTGTGGTTGTATAATCCCAGGAAGACCAAAGGGAAGTCTCCTAAGTTGTCTTCTCCATGGGAAGGCTCATATGACATAGTAGTTCGTCTCTCAGACGTGACTTTCCGAATAAAATGTGGTCGATGAGGTAAGCCAAAGGTGGTGTATGCCAACAGGCTTTGGCGTTATCATGGTCCAGGACATTTCAGTTGGAACAAAGTGAACAATGGAACAAATCATGCTGCTGAAGACGTGTCACCTCAATAAGCCACTGTCAAAGAAGAAACTCTACCCGGTTTTGAGAAGGAAAACAGTGAAACCATTAATGAAGTTACTACCACTGATGTGACTGTTACCAATAATGGGACATTTCCTGATGGAGCTGATGAACCACACGTGAAGCTGAAGCCAATGAGACAGAGTCCAGTATGGAAGAAGATACCTCCTGTAAAATTAGGAGACTTTGTTGTATTTTAATTTAGTGTTTGTAAATTCTGTACATTTAATCAAGTTATTGTTAATTATCTATTGGTTTAATGTAAGTGGCTATTGTTCGAGACAAACAATACTAAGGAAGGGGCAGTGTTATGACAGCGGAAGTCATGCGATGCTTAAAATCATGCGGGTTGGAGTTTCTAGAAGGATCATGACTTATCGATGAACACCGCAAATCTCCGAGTGTTTGCTAGACGCCAGCGATATAGGAAGATAGATTGAATAGATATGCAGATAGATCAAAGATATAGATAATTGAGTCAAGCGAACAGTAGGCACAGTAAGTAAAATGTGTGAATCACTGTGATTTATAGTGTGTGTGTGTGTTATAAAGGTTGTTAAGTTTAAAGTGACTGTGGAAATTCTGTGTATTACAAAGTTGTATCAAGAAAGAATAAACTAGTTTTAATTAATAAGTCCAAAACCAATGGTAAAATAATGTACAGAAAATCAGTTTGATTTCTGTCAAATGTAGTTTCAGATTAACATACAAGTCTTGAAGTTAAGAAAATAATTAAAATGAAAGTTTTAGTGACCTGGTAATTTTCTTATCTAAGCAAATACACAAAAAAAATACTGGTTTTATAACGATATAATACTGAAAATAAAAAACACACACAGAGAAGTTATTTTTATGTAAAATATCTTCCATTTTCTGATGTCCAGATTTTTACTGTTATGTCAATAAATGACACTCTGGACAACCACAGATATTTCAGCAAGATAAAAATACAAAAAAGGATGTAAAATCTGTGGACAGTTAACATGAATACTATGATAATAAGAACAGTATAACATGTGGGGGGAGAGCTACCATTAATGCTACAATAACAAGTGTAACATCTTTTGACAGCTACAAAGTGGTCACTTGGTTGGTGAATTCAACAGAGCCCATGTAGAGAAAGTTAGTGTTTTATGTGCAAGATTAATTATACCAAAAAATGAGACTAGTTTATTAAAGTTTGGGAATTTCATGATATCAAACATCTCAACACTAATTCTCCATTAGTCACGTGAAGTTCATAAAGACATCTTTACAAAAATTTATAATAACTTTTAACAAAACTATAAAAGTTTTAAACAAAAATTACCTCAGTTTTTTCTGTTCCTACATCAT